TTTCTTTCTTTCTTTCTTTCTTTCTTTCTTTCTTTCTTTCTCTTTCTTTCGTCTTTTTGAGACAGGGTCTCCCTGTAGCCCCAGCTGGCCTGAAACTCACTACATAGACCAGGCTGGCCTTGAACTCACAGAGATCCGCCTGCCTCTGCCTCCCAGACTAAAGGCCTGCACCACCACACCCAGCTAAAGCTGCTTGTTTTTCAATTAATTTTTTCATAACAAATGCTAGTTTGACCTACTTTTCCCCTAGTATCCAAAGGCTGCCCAACTACATGATACAATGATGCTCTTAGCATTTAAATTTAAAGGACTATAGCTCAGTGTTTAAAAATGTTAAGTTAATTAGGCCCAGAAGTATACTTCAGTGTACAGAGCATGTGTAGAATGAGCAAGGCTCTGGGTTCAATCCCCAGCAACAAAAAGAAACAAAAAGAAAAAGAACAAAAGTCAAAACATCAACAACAAAAATTTAACCCAAGAGAAATATCATTAGGATAAAAATGGAAATATATTTACCACATGATTAGAAAATTACTATTAATAAATCAGTAAGTGGTATGAACATTATTTTACTCAACACTTCAAAGCATTATAATACCAACATACAAATAAAACAGAAGCCAAAGCATGGAATAATAAGGGGTTGTCATTAACTAGGTGAAACAAAACAAAAATGAATGGACACACACTAAAAAAAGCTTGTTTTTAGCTTAATTGTTGGTGCAGAATGTATAGCAGGGGCTGGCTGCCTGGCAGCTGCCTTGGCTTTGCTTGCTTGGCTTGCTCGCACAGCAGTTTCTAGACGTACTTTCAGCTCAGGAGCGGCCCCCATTACTGTCTTGAAAGCATGTGGATACAGAGGTCCAATGTGCATTAAGTTTTGGAGTGCAAACTCATGGAGATCTCTGGAGACTGAATTTGCTGAAGCAAAAGAATTTTCATCCAGCAGGTAAGAGATCAAAGTGGGAACTAACAGAGCAAGTAACTGGACTCCTGCAAATAACAAAGATAACAACAAAGATTAGTCTGATTTGAGAGAATGCAGTTTGATATTTTTAATAGTAAGAATATATTTAAAGCCGGGTGTAGTGGTATGTGCCTTTGTCCCAGGACTTGGGAGGCAGAGGCAGGCAGATCTCTGTGAGATAGAGGCCAGCCTGGTCTGTATGGTGAGTGCCAGGCCAGCTGGGGCTACAGGGAAACCCTGTCTCAAAAAGACCAAAGAATTTTTAAAAATTTAAAAAAGAATATATTTAAATGTTACTTGTGCAATTACAGTTTAACAACAGAGGCTCCAGCAAGGATTCTGAACTAAATGACCATCTTTTATATATGAATTACAGGTATAAAATAACCAAAGCAGACCAGTTTATAATATTAGTAAGATGTACCAACAATAAAATAAGCACAATTATGGCCTTTTCATGTTGAATGGACTGCTTTATTCAGATTATACATGTTTTATAATACAGCAAGATTTAAAAATATTTTATTATTTTTATTTTATGTGCATAAAAGTGTATTGCCTACATGTATGTAAGTGCACCCATATTGTGCAATGACCACGGATGTCAGAAGAGGGCATTGGATCCCCTGGAACTAAAGTTATGGACAGTTGTTAACTGCCATGTGGGTGCTTGAAATTGAACCTGGGTCCTCTTAACCATTGAGCCATTTCTCCAGCCACAATACTGAAAGATTTTAAGAGGTAGAATAAACAACCGGGACATTTTAAACTTAAAAATTAAGACTAAATACTATGGAAAAAAAAAGGCCAGAGATGAAGAGTTGCTCAGTGATAGAGTGCTTGCTTTGCAAATGCCAGGTCCTAGGTATGATCTCTAGCATCACAGGGCGGGGGAAAAGGTAAAAATGAGTCTTATTAACAAGTGGGATTACATGTACCAGGAGGGTACTAACAAATAATAAAATAATAAATGAATGAATAATTTGATAAGCAAAATTTTTAAAATGTGCCTTTGTTTTATATGGTCACATATTCTAGGAGGATTTAAATTTTAGGTTTTAAATTGATCATTTAACTTTTCTTACCTCTTTGCAAAGTGCTCTCTTTTCTTGAAAAAGTATCACAGAAAATTGTAAAAGTAGTAGAGAATTCTGAGGAGCTACAGTGGTAGAACATGCACTTAGCACATGAGGCCATGGGCTCAATCCCTAGCAGCAATAAAAGGAAAAGCTACTGAACTGATACTCTATGAAATAGCAGTCTAGAATTATGCCAGAACAGAAGAACGCAGATGCGAACCTGACAGAGAAACAGACCTGACCTGATGACTAACTGGCTATAGGGAAGGAGGGATAGGCAAATATTAATGATTTGCATAAAAGTGGTGTCAAAATTAAAGTCAAAAGAATTGTTCTGAAGAAATTGATAAATTTAGTTGCAAGAAGGAAGAAATTAATGTAAAGATTATTTGGGTAGAAATTAATGACATTTTAATGACACAACTTTATATTTTTATCTTACTAACCATAAACTTCATGAATAGGAATAAATCTTTGTAGCCCTAGCACGGATCTGACTGTCCTGTAGTATTTAAAGTATTTTTGAACTGAGTTGCCTTGGGGGCAATTCCTCAACAGGTGCCCTCATTTAGAATTAAACTTAACATGAAGACAAGCAGAGATGGGTCTCCTCCCCCTCCCTCTCTCCCCACCATGCTCAGCATTGCAGAAGTTAGGCAAACACTCTACTACTGAGCCACTGCACCCCTGGGAAGAAAATCTTGAAAATCAGAAGCAGCTTAAGGCTCAATCATAAGGTATTAGTTAAAAATGTTAGTTTTTCTACAACAATTAAAAATCACATTCTAGTATGTATATATTAAGTATATAAAGCTGCATAATTTTCTGGATAAATGGATGTATGTGGCAGTTTTCATGAAACAAAAAATTTCAAATGTCAAATTCTAAGGTACCATATTATGATGCTTGGTGTTTCCACTTAAATCTATTATAACATAAAGCTTATGTAATTCTACTATGAAGAGTAAAACACTTTTTTAAAAGAAATTCCATTAAATAGCTATACTTTTCCTAGTTCTTAATAAAGGACACATTCTTAGAAAAAGAATTTTAAATGAGTTGTTAAAATGCCTTCAGTAGTCTGTTCCTTTGCTGCATGACCCAGTGGCCAGAAATTCACCATGTCTATTCTCAAGATCCATGCCAAAGAAATCCCACTGTTGAGGTTGATCTCTACACCGCAAAAGATCTCTTCCGAGCTGCTGTGCCAGTGGTGCCTCAACTAGTATCTATGAGGCCCTGGATCTCCAGGACAACGATAAGACACACTATGTGGGAGAAGGGTGTCTCAAAGGCTGTTGAGTACATCAATAAAACTATTGCACCTGCTCTGGTTAGCAAGAACCTGAATGTCCTAGAACAAGAGAAGATCGATAAACTGATGACTGAAATGGTCGAGACTGAAAATAAATCTAAGTTTGGCACGAATGCCATCCTGGGAGTTTCCCTGGCTCTCTGCAAAGCTGATGCTGTAGAGAAGGGTGTGCCCCTGTACTGACACATCACTGATCTGACTGGTAACCCTGAAGTCATCCTGCCTGTCCCGGGTTTCAACATGATCAATGGTGGTTCCCACGCTGGCAACAAGCTGGCCATGCAGGAGTTCATGATCCTACCCATATGCAGAGGTTTACCACAACCTGAAGAATATCATCAAGGAGAAATATGGGAAAGATGCCACCAATATGGGTGATGAAGGCGGGTTTGCTCCCAACATCCTGGAGAACAAAGAAGCCATGGAGCTGCTGAAGAATGCACTTGGGAAGGCTGGCTACACTGACAAGGTTGTCACTGACATGGATGTAGCTGCCTCCAAATTCTCTAGGTCTGGCAAATACGACCTGGACTTCAAGTCTCCTGATGAGCCCAACAGGTACATCTCACCTAACCAGATGGCTGACCTGTATAAGTCCTTCATCCAAGACTATCCAGTGCTATCCATCAAAGATCCCTTTGACCAGGATGATTGGGAAGCTTGGCAGAAGTTCACAGCTAGTGCGGGCACCCAGGTCACTGGGGAAAATCTCACAGTGACCAACCCAAAGCGGATTGCCAAGGTCATGGGTGAGAAGTCCTGCAACTGCCTCCTGCTCAAAGTGAACCAGATCGGTTCTGTGACCAAGTCTCTGCAGGTGTGCAAGCTGGCTCAGTCTAATGGTTGGGGTGTCATGGTGTCCCATCACTCTGGGGAGACTGAGGATACCTTCATTGCTGACCTGGTGGTGGGACTCTACACTGGGCAAATTAAGACTGGTGCACCTTGCCAATTCGAGCATCTGGCCAAGTACAATCACATACTCAGAACTGAGGTGGAACTGGGCAGCAAGGCCAAGTTTGTTAGCAGGTCCTTCAGAAACCCCCTGGCCAAGTAAATAACGGTCCAGCCATCCGTGGAGCCCTCAGTCACACTGGCTGCTTAGACACTGTCCCTGATATTGAGGCTGCTCAAGGCCAACCCAGTGTTTGCCAGGTCTCTGTAGTTAGCTCTGTTTCTTGCCACTGCTTCCCTAGAGGTCCAAAGCCACACCTGACCACCTGGAACCCCAGCTCTGTAATCATGTGACTGGTCCAAATCACTGTTTGTCACGTCATTTCCCACCTAGTGTCAGGAGCCCTCATACCTCCAGTGTAATTGCCAAGGTGGCCACAGGCAAGATTCCCAGTGGTTCTTTGTGCAAAATAAAAGCCTCAGTGACTCAAGAAAAAAAAAAATGCCTTCAGTAATTCATTGACTTCTCTGTCATGAAAAATAAATACAAATCAACTCAACTAACACATTATGTTATTAATATGAGAAAATACGTTATGTATTCAGGCAGTAATTGCTCCTCAGGAAACTTACTGTTGCAAAGCCTGTGTCTAACAGTAAATTGGATTCATAGATAATAGAGGTCATTTTAGACTAGTAGTTTTTAACAAGAAAATACTTACTGTTCTGTTCTTCACCAAGAGCAACCAATGTTTCAAGAACTTTAATTCCTTCTTGAACAGCCAAAAGTTCTGTGTTATTGGCTGGTCTATTTCTTTCAACAGCTTTTAGCTTTTCAACCACTATTGGAGCTAATGAATGGATGTAGGGAGTTGAAAGGGCACGATTAGAATGCTGGAAGACGGAGAGGAGAAGCTGGTAACATTTGGCTTGAACCTACATAAGAAAGTGATTTTCTCAATTAATACATGTAACAGTTCTTATTTGTTAAACAATCACATTGCATCTTAGCATCTACTGAAAAGAAGTGAGTTCAAGGATGAAAACAGAAATGACTTTTTTTTTTCACAAATGGGTACACACAAAATTTAATCTTTCAAAACTAGATTACTTAATCACAGAGGTTTAAATTATGCATGGATCATAATCATTCATAAGAAAGACGAAAGTAAAAAAGTTCATGTCGGCACTTGCTGCAGAAGAATCCGTTTACAGGAAAAATATACCATGTCCTGATGTTGACTGTACACTAATATAAACATTGTGTGTTTCTGTATGCTTCTAGGAACATAATATATGTGTTTGAGAAA